ATGAACGAAAGGGAAAACCATTCAGATGGGTCTGTCACGATCCCCCAGGAGCCAATCACAACGCCCAACTCAAGCTTGGATATTGAAGCTCTTCTATACAAGGTCAACTATGAACGAGCGTTGTACAACATTCCGGCCATGATCTGGGTGGGTCTTCTCATGTTCGTAGGGGTCATAGGTAACTCCCTGGTTGTCTATGTATACAGACGACGCTTCAAAAAGACTTCGTCAAATTATTTCATTCTTTCAATGGCAGTCTTTGACTTGGTAGCCTGTCTGTTGGGCATGCCCACGGAGATCTATGATTTGAACAACCCGTACACTTTCTACAGCTCTACGACGTGCAAGGTCCTACGCGGCTGTGCTGTGTTTACAGTCTACGGATCTGCTACAGTGTTGGTGGAGATAGCGTTTGATCGTTACTTTAAAATCTGCAGACCACTGTTAATGGTCAGTCTGTCCAGAATCCGTATGCTCTGTGTCTTCGCTTGGATCATTGCAACAATTTTGTCCATCCCCCCGTTCATTTTGTTCGGAGTTAACAGAGTCAACACTTCCATACCATTGGTGGAGGGTTACGACTGTTCTATTGCCGAACAGTACAAAGATTCCACATTTCAGTCTGTTCATTATATTATCTTAGGTGTTCTGATCGTGTTTATATTTATCTCTCTCACGGTTATATACACCCGTATATGGCTGGAAATTCGTCGACGGCGACGTCTCGTCATCGGGGATCAGATAACAAAGGAGGACGATTCTGATTCAAAAAAGAGACCCCGAATCAAATACGTACCCAGTGTGAGCGAAGATGAGTCGATGTATAATTCAGTCAGCGCTCACTCCAACAATGTGTTTATGTCGGAAATACAGACCAACAACCATAGCAACAAAACCGTAGCCACACAGACCTCTGTGGAAAGGCGTTTCAAGCTTGGAACTCTAACCACCTGCGCGTCCAGGCTGAAAGTGACCCGGACCACAGTTGTCCTGTTTGCAGTTACCGTTGCTTTCGTCCTGAGTTACCTCCCGTCAATCGCTGTCATGATCGTTAGAAGCACGGTGAAAGATTTTGATGAGAATCAGAGCTGGATCTCTCAAGTTGTATTTAAGATCTTATCAAATTGCTTCTTTATCAATAACGCCATAAACCCTATTATTTACAGTTTTCTCAACATACATTTCCGTCGGCAAGTTAAGAAGACCTTTCAACGCATTTTCTGTTGCATTCGATGGAATCGACACCCGCCTCAGAAAATGGATTCGGAGCGTAGTACAAGGAAAGAATTTTTGCCCAAAGATTGAATTTGTAGACATAAATCGCATGAAACACTGATGTTCTTTACAGAGAACATGCCAAGTCATTGCTATAATTGTCCAACTTCCAACTGGGCCAGTATTGCAGCCATGTACACAATGGTCTGATGGGGACTGATTCTATTGCATTGACGCTTTTGAGCCCTTTGCAATGGACAATGTGTGTCCGTCTATTTCCCTCACCGTGTCCCACACATCGTATTACGCATCCAAGTATATTTGCGCTTAGCCGGCGTAGTCTGTAGAAATTTGGCACTCCGGTGGCAGCTTGCAATTTTTGTGAATTTCTTCAACACTTCTGTGCGGTAGTGTGTTTTCATCGGATTGTTTAAAGGGAGGAAAATAAAGCTAATATTATCCATTGAAAGAGGTAATGACAGAGATTACGGATGTAAAATGGAGATCTGGTCATACAACTTAAAAATAATCGTGATTTTAAACTATATATTTGAAATTACTTGTGATAATGTGAATATTTTATGTTTTTAACTTTACACTCTATATGTTTAATAATATGCGATATTGTCTTGGTGTATGTTTTTTTTTTTAAATCTACATGACAATCCTAGATCTTGTACAGTTATGCTGTAATGTTGAACCATATTTTAATCTGTCGGTGTACTCACATGAAGTCAGCAAGAGAAATTCTCAGAAAAGATTCGCAGGCAATCATTGATAATTAATCACGCTGTATAATATAATTAGCAGATCGCTTTGCATTTGTTTCGATAATGATATAGTGAGCCAATCACTTAGTGTGCAAACTAGTGAACTAGTAAAATTGCATAGTTAAACCCCAGCGTAAAATTGCCTGGCAGAACCCTAGTGTAAAATTACCAGGTAAAACCTTAAACCACTAACAAGTGCTTGGGTTGGTTTACCATGCCCTATAAAGGATACACAACTAACTTTTTAAAAAAAAATTGTTTACTGAATCAAGTTTTAATGATATTATTAACACTTTGAGTTCGGACAATTGTTACTTCTTTTCTGTCTAAAGTAATGTTATATCGTCACCTAGCTGGTCTTTGCAAAACGTCTCTCCCTTCACGTTCTGCCTGAAAGAAACTCGGTCTGTCACCAGCTCTCCCGCCTAATGTAATTTCATATTCAAAGAGACACTTATATCCTGTGCCCATCTTCCCCTTGCTCCGTCTCTGCCCCTCCTTGCAAGTACCATGCCTAGTGCTGAAATTTTTTGTTTCAATCCGCCATGGCGCTTGATGTAACTAAAATAGTTCAGCTTCCGACACAAGATGTTGTTTATTAGCAAATCTTCCCTGATGTTCAGATCTTTTAGAATGTCAGTATTTTTTTTTCTTCTTTATCCATGATATTCTGAGAATCTTTCTATAGCATTTAAGCTCAAAAGTCCATATTTTCTTCCTTTAGGACTGTTAGATTTTTTGGATCTGTTCCTGACTTACTTGTTCTGTTGTTAACGATAGCTAGATCTGTTACTGACTGACTTGTTCTGTTACTATAGCTTGATCTGTTACTGACTTACTTCTTCTCTTCGTAGCTATAGCTTTATCTGTTACTGACTGACTTGTTCTGTTACTATAGCTTGATCTGTTACTGACTTACTTCTTCTCTTCGTAGCTATAGCTTTATCTGTTACTGACTGATTTGTTCTGTTACTAACTATAGTTTGATTTGTTACTAACTTACTTGTTCTGTTACTGACTTCTAGTTCATGTACTGAACACATTAGACAAACACCCATGATATTTAGCAAAGAAAATAATCAGCTAACAATGAATATCACAGTGAACGGGGTGAAATTGGAACAAGTTAAAAATGTCTTATATCTTGGACAAGTAATAACATGTGACGGCAGAAGTGAAACAGAAGTCAAGAAAAGAATAGGGATAGCCAAAAACATTGTCAACAACATGCAAAAGTTACTGACATCAAGAGAAATAAGCAATGCATTAAAAATGAGAATTGTCAAATGTTATGTATTCTCAACCTTACTGTATGGCACAGAGACATGGACAATGAACAAACAACTGGAAAATCGTATCAATTCTCTTGGAGATGTGGATATACAGAAGATTAGGTCGTATTTCATGGGAACAAAAGCTATCAAATACAGAGGTACTGAGGAAATTGGGAATGAAAAGAGAGTTGCTAGGTGAAATAAAAAAAGAGACAAGTGAAATATTTTGGCCACATTAAAAGACATAACAGTATTGTAAAGATCATCCTATAGGGAAAGGTTCAAGGTAGGCGAGCAAAAGGCAGACATAATTACAAGTGGGAGGATAACATCAAGAGATGGATGAACAGCAGTATGAGCGAGTGTGCATCAAGGGCAAGAGACAGGGCTTGTTGGAGATCCATTGCAGCTAACCTTCATTGTGGAGACGGCACCTGATTGATTGACTGGACACATTATTCTGTTACTGACTTTAGCTTGATCTGTTACTGACTTACTTTTTCTGGTATTAACTATAGCTTGATCTGTTACTCATGTACTTGTTCTGTTACTCACGTACTTGTTCTATTATTGGCTGTAGTATTTCCTGTTTTTGTTTTTTAAAAAAAATTTGACTCTGATTTGGTTTGTTTAGTTCTAGCGTGAGATAAAATAGTGTGGCCACAGCTTTCCATCTCGATTACTCCTAATAATTTGTTAACCATATGTTTTTCCCTGCCATGAAGCGAAGCTAACATTCTGTTCCTTTGTCTCAACAGCCGCTCTTTCTCTTTAACTGTTCAGGTGCTACCGCGTACATCATGCTAACTGTTCCAATAGGAATAACATAACTCGTGTTTTTCTTAGCGTGAACCGGCTGTAAACTTCGGCGGAAGATCTGGTTTTTCATTAGCTTCTGTACTTTGGTCTTGTTCCAGAGCTTCAGTTTTGTATGCACATCGGTTTCATAGATCTGTCTTATTTATATGCTAACTTTTGGCTCCCAGCCTCTCATGCAGATGTACTCAGACTTCGGTGGGCAAAGCTTCAATTATATGCTTAAAATGGGCGGTGGATCTAATCCCTCCACCCCCCCCCCACCCGCACCCCCGCCTTTTGCACCCTGTGTGGGGCCCCGAAACACACACATAAAGTAATTCCTGGAAAAAAAAAAGATAATTTATAGACCAATGTGTCTGTTATCTACGGTTTTAAAGCGAAAACCACACAGCAAAAACTATGTGTATAAAATTACATAGAAAATATGAATGATGCTTGGGAACCACGACTGGTCTCTGACTCTAAGCGGATTGCATGACCTGATAGTAAAGCCTGGCCAAGCACGTCTAAACCGCCTTCCAGGTCAAGATAGGAGATTGCCGTTCCATTATTTAACCACCTCCCCCCCCCCTCCCCCCCCCCCACAAAAAAACCTCCAACAAGTTCAACCTGCTTCAACAAGCGAGCTGCTAGCAGTGTCCGGTTATATTTGTGGTCTATTTTATTTGTGCTTTTTGCGTGGCTAAGATTGTGGAATGTGCGCCACCTCTTTGGCTTTATGTTCCTAACCTAATAGTTTGTGGGTTTTTTTTTTTTTTTTTAGTATCCAGAAACCATGAGTTGTGAATTCTTTGGCTCGGTATTATAGATATCGCAACCCTTCGGCCTTGATTCCGTGATAGATACCGTAAATCTGGGAGAAATGTGCTTTTTTCTGCCTACCCCCAGGCATAAGTCCGGACCACAAGGAGTTCGTCACCCGGTCACCGCGCAGAGGTTCTAATTAAGTGCGCTAGCGAGCCGGGCATCATAAAAGCTAGACCGCTCCTTCCTGTGTCTCAGTGTGTTCATCTTATCCTTTATAAGATAGGAGAAGACATAATCTACTTATTGGAACAGTCACTACTTGTATCTTGCGCTTTCTGCTGTTTGGAACTGAGCACACTTTTGAATATTAATAACAAATTAACGGTAATATATTTGTATTATCCACATACATGTTTTTGAAAGGTATATATTTTAAAATTGTCTGGTGTCATTTAAAACTGTTGGAGTCTCAGAACTTTATATAGTTTATGGCTTCCTCAAGCCTACATCCGGCACCGGTGTGCCTAATGTGCAGAGATGTCGATTGTGATAACATAACATTCACAATACAAAGACATGTATTTAAGGATATGGTTATATGTTTCTGTTCTTTTTTAAACTCAAGTAGAGATTTTGCGTTGTATAAATTTCTAATTTGTTTAATATTTTTGTCAACCATTTATTCAACTATCCATCCAACCATCCATTCATCCATTATTCAGCAATTACCCATCCACCCATCTATCTATCAATACATCACCCATCATCCATTCATTATCTATTCATCATCCATCTATCCATCCATCCATTCATCATCAATTCATCATCCATCTATCCATCCATCCATTCATCATCAATCCATCATCCATCCATTCATCAACCATCCATCCATTCACTATACATCCATCCATCATCTATCCATCCATCTAATAATAATCCATCCATCTATCCATTCATCGTCCATCCGTCCACCCATCAGTTCATCATGCATCCATCCATCCAATGATTATCCATCCATTCATCCACTCAACCATCTATCCACATATACATCCATCCATCCACTCAACCTTACACCCACTCATCTATTCGTCCATTCGTCCATTTATCCATTCATCTATCCATCAATCCATTCATCATCAATCCATCTATATATGCACACATATGTACGCCAGTCTATCTTCTTAATATATACTCGTAAACGTCACATTTCTAATGTTCTATTTGAGCCGTTTTTATCTGCAGTCTATGTCTATCCATCTGTGTGTATGTCTCCCTGTTTGCTTGTGTCTTTACTTTTTCAGCATAACTGCTTGACTGTCTTTATATCGTCCTGTTTGTCTATCTGACTGCCAGTTTTAGTGTCATTACGGATGTTTGCATTTTTCTCTGATTGTCTGTTCCTCTATTAGACATTGTGTCTTTCCGATTGCTTATCTGTGTATCTTTTATTCCATCTGTCTTGCTCATTCTCCTCTCCCTC